CCCCGCCACAATTGCAACAGGCCTGTAAACAAGCCTGCTGTGTGGTAAGTAAGTATCCTTTGAGGAGCTCAGAACAGGCAGCTCCAGAAACACCGGGCAGGGAGACCCCCACCTGGGAAGTGGCTGGCCCTGACCCCTAAAGGAAAACCTAGGCCTTTTCTTTTGGGAGCATTTTGCTTTTTGGTTTTGGTACTGGGCACTGAATCCAGGACCTCTAGCGTATGGAAAACAGGCTCTCTCCTCCAGCCACTACTAGTCCCACACTGTGCCCTTTAATTCTTTTCCTTAAATGGTGCCACCTGGGACTCTTTGGCTTCAAAGATACATCTGTCCTGGCGTGTATTCCGTCTTCCTCACTAGTGCATTGCACACTCCTTGAAATTGATCCTACCGTCCTCCTCCGGTCCCCATCGTCAGGGTTTGGAATCAATTGCCACTTAATAAATACTTGCTGACGAGCCATGCCACTCTGGACAAATTGGTAAAACTGCCTGATCTCAGTTTCATCTTTTAATGAACAACATAGACTAGAAAGGTCAAGCCCCAGGCATCTTCTATCTCTGGCTCACTGACTATTAGGTTAGAAATAACTCTGGCTCACTCACTGCTATGTTAGAAATTACTTTTGCTACTGGAACTAGAAGCTATATGCTGAGATAACAGAAAAAAAAATTATCCCTGTTAGTATCATAAAATCTATACAGTATGTTTGCAGAGAGTTCAAGGATTTTGTTATTCTTTGTTTTCCAGTATAAAGAGTAAGCGCTTTCCCTGTATGCTTCATGATGACTTTTTTTTTTTTTGATATGGAAAAATAATACACCTGACATGAAATTTGTGGGTATACCAATTTTAAGTGCTGGAATTAAAGGCAGGTGCCACCACTCCCATCAGAAGATTGCTTTTATCAATAAAATGTCATTGTTTTGGCCTTCAAAATTTTATTTTTAGAAATCCCAGTACTTCTTGTTCCTACTAATCATGTAATTTTTTTTTCTTTTTCCTCTAATTTAGCTAGACATTGACTACCAGGAAAAATGTGCACAGGTCACCACAATCCTTCACTCCTCCTAGCCACCTTAGGAAGTTAAGCAGTGTGTTTTGTTCCCTGAGGACCGTGGTCATCACAGGAACAGTAAAAGTTTTGACAGCTATTAAATCTGTGAAATAAAAACACAAGATTAGCATTCCTGTGTGAAAGATAAGAAAACTGAGCCTTGGCATTTGTCCAAAGGTATACATTACTAAATAAAGAATTGAGCCTGCAAGTCAGGTGGCCTAAGACAATATCCAATGCTCCTTTCAGTAGTACATCACATCACCTCTATAGCAGGGATTTTCAGGGTTTGGGAGGGTTGTGTAACGGCAGATCTTATGTGCATCTAGACTGAAAATGTGACTAATTTTGCTTAGCATCGATAATAGAGTGTATTTTCACTTCTCCATAGCCCATAGCTCCCTCATTATCTGGCAACATTTTTGTATGGCTGGCTATCCACGAAAATGGATTGAGCATCCTAGAATACACCTCCATGGTAAGATTAAACCCCCATGTTTGTAATTAAACCTCCTATCTCCATTGCTCAGGGTACAGTAAGGGGAAGATTATGAGATTGTGAATTTCTGTATTCTGATTTTCCCCTGAGCTGAGAAAACATTCTTCCTGAAATCCTCTAATAGTCACTTTACAGGAACAATTATGTTACAGTCTAGTGTTTTAAAACAAAAAGAGACAGGCTGTGTGTTGTATATGCAAAAAAAAATATTAAGATGGTGGGATTAAGTTACAGTCATGGCTCTGGTTGGTATTTTTAAGTACTATGGCAGTTCTTTATCTTTTTTTTTAAGTGTGTGTGTGTGTATGTGTGTGTGTGTGTGTGTGTGTACTCAAGTGGAGGTCAGAGGACAACTTTCTGGACTCAGCTCTTTCCTTCCACTCTATGGGTCCCAAGGATCAAACTCAGGTGGTAAGCCTTGGCAGCAAGCACCTGTACTCGTTGGGTGGTAAGCCTTGGCAGCAAGCACCTGTACTCGTTGAGCCATATCACTGGCCCTCAACAGTTTTTTTTTTTTCTGTATAAAATAAGAATGTTTATGATATTAAAAAATAGAAACTTTACTTATCAAAGTTTAAATTTCAGTTTCATTTTAGTATCTATAGCATAATTTGTATAGTTTTCCATAATGTCAGTAGTTCTACTTACATAAAGGTTACATTTTTGTCTAAAACATAGAGTATATAATTTAAAATGAACTTGAGCTGGACAGTGTGGCACATGATGGTAGTCCCAGCACTGAAGACACTGAAACAGGAAAGTTGCAAGTTCAAGGCCAGTCTGGGCTACATAGCAAGATGCTTCCTCCATTTTTCAAAATAGAAAAAAAAATCAAAATATTCCTTCTATGTGTTCGTTTATTTATGTGAAGTTATTGTCTACTATATTTCATAGGCTATTTGGTAATTTTCGCTGTTGTACTGGAACCTCACACATGTTTGGCTAGTGCCTTGCCACCAAATTATATACCCCAACCCTAAATTTCTCAGTCTGGTGGGTAATAATTGCTGCTTTAAAGATACAGTGAGAGATCCTTGCCTGTGGCAATAGTGAGAGCACTGAAAAAAATCTTGGTTTTACCTTTTTGAAGTGAAATTTCATTTCCTCTTTTCCTTTCATACCTTCAACCCCTCCCATACACACACATACCCACTCTCTTTCAAATTCATGTCCTCTGGCCTCTTTTTTTTTTTTTTTTCATTGTTTTACCCACACACACACACACACACACACACACACAATGATAACAACATGGTTTGACTGTTCAGCCACCAGGCGACTGTTTAACACGGTTGTCAATATAGTCATTCACATGCCCATCTGTTGCACCCTACTGTTTCTATTTGTGCCAGAGTCTGCCTAGCAGGGGAGCCATATGGATCTGCCAATACAGTCTTTGAATATTTGGACCTTAAAAACAATCAGTTTCTTAGAGAGATCTGAGTGGACATATAAAAATACATTACCAAAGATTTTCTACTGGGTGCTGTGAATATAAGTGTTTCTTAATTTTGAGTTTCTCAGGATCTAATATATACTTGACTGTATAGGTCAACGATTCCTAAATAACCTTAGTACAACTATTATTTACATTAACCATAATAGATTTGATATGAGAGACATTATTTTCGAATTTGCCGTAGTATCAATATCAGCATTTTCTCCTCTTCTTTGGGTGTGGACAGCGAGTAACCGTTCCTTTTGCTTTTCTTGGAAGAGGTTAATGGTCAGCTATGTGTACAAGAGCCTGATGACCTTCGGAGGGTGTCAAGACGATTTTATGGTAGTCATCAATACTCATTCAAAAGACAGGCCGACAGAGAAGCTGCTTTTTGCCATGGCAAAACCCAAGGTGAGTGGAACCCTTTCCACCAGCTGCTCTTTCGAGGGAAGACACTTCTTGCACAAAGGGTTTTCCAGATGGAAACGGGTGTTGCTGAACCAACCCTGGGCTCAAATCCTCACTGGATCTGAGTTCTATTTTCTTTTGCTAACGGGACACTGTACTACCTGCTTCTTTTAGCTTAAGGACTAAGTGAAAGCCAGGCATAGTGGTACACACCTTTAATCCCAGATACCATCACTTAAGAGCCAGAGGCAGGTGGAACTCTGTGAGTTTGTAGACAGCCTGGTCTACAGAGCGAGTTCTAGGACAGCCAGGGCTACAGAGGGAATCCTGTTTCAAAAAAAAAAAAAAAAAGAAGAAGAAGAAGAAGAAGAAGAACAACAACAACAACAACAACAACAACTAAGTGAAATGTTCCAATATGGGCCAATTCCTGGTGCTGTGAAGTTTCAAAAGTAGAGACCATCTGCTGGCATTCAAGAGTATGATTGGGAGGGGGGGGTGGAGTTCAGGGCAGCCTGGGCTTCCTAAGAGCCTTGTCTCAGAAGACTGTGTATGGCGAGTCATGAGTTATTGTGGGGTACACTGCATGGTCTTATCTATTGGGGTTATTTTTTATGGGCTTATTAAAGAGCAGAGTTTTATAGTTAAGATGTATGTGTCCCTTTGTTATAGTTAACCATATAGTTTCAACATCTCTCAGTAAAGCAACTTTTTAAAAGATTGCGTTCTAACATGTAATTGAGGTTCCCAGCTATAGTCCAGTGGCAGAGTCTGAGTGTATCGGTGAGGGAAGTCCGGGGGTTCAAGCCCTAGTACTGAAAAAAAAATTCTAATTTTAGTAAACAAAAAAAATGTTCTATTGCTGCTGTTTATGTTACATGTGTGTCTGTATGTATGGCACAGCACTGGTACGGAAGTCAGAGACAACTTGGCATCAGTTCTGTCCTTCCACCTCTAGGGGTCCTAGGGTTCTGAAGCTAGGCATTTCTCAAGCCCTGTTGGTTTGTCTTATGGTAGATATCTGTTCTGATATAGTTCTGTGTTGTAAGTGAGAGCAGTTAACCGTAGAGTACAAAAGATCACGGTAGCTTCAGTATTTGTTTTAATAGAATTGATATGATGCTCTAAAATTCTTAGTGCAGACCATCACACTTCCTAGCATTGTCAATCAGCTTGACTGGGTGAAGCAACAGGAAAATATGATGGTGCCTTGATGGTGCCAGGCACGTTAAAGTTGAAATAAATTATCAAAAAAAAAAAAAAACAAAACAAAACACTTCGATCAATATAGACCAGTGGTTCTCAACCTTCCTGAGGCTGCAACCCTTTAATACAGTTCCTTATGTTGTTGTGACCTGCCCCCAGCCATAATATTATTCCAATGCAACTTCATAACTCTAATTTTGCTATAGTTATGAATCATAATAAACATCTGATAGGCAGGCTATCTGATATTCTACCCCAAAAGGAGTTTCAACCCACAGGTTGAGAACCAATGATCTAAAGAGCAGGGCATAATGGTGGGCTAGGCAAATGCAATTGAAATCACCCATGGATGGTGGAGAGAACTCAGGAGCCTAACAGGACTGTTTTTCTCATTTTAGATCCTTGAAATCACCCTTCTGATTGCCAGTTACATCAACAACTCTTATCAGCAGAAAGCCTTCCACCACCTCTCTGCCCCAGCACTGCTCTCAGCCAGGACCCAGGAACCCCCAGCCAGGGCCATGGGCAGCCAGCCCCTTCCGTCCAACAGCAGGCCCAGCAAAGGCCCCACCTTGCTCTGAAAGCTCCTGAACCTGACCTTCACTCCTGGCTCTTCACAAAGTGGCTGTGCCGGCTACAACCAAGTGTTTTATACACTGCCAGCGTGTCTCGCACACTAGCACTCCATACTTTAGCAGTAATGGGTTACTCGATTATCTGACTCTTCAATATTCAGATAACAATAAAATAGAAACATAAATTGTACCACACATGCACTGTGTCTTAGACACAGTAGGTTAGAATTTGTCTCCACCCCACCAGACACTGTGCAATAAGGCTTCTCTCTCTCTCTCTCTCTCTCTCTCTCTCTCTCTCTCTCTCTCTCTCTCTCTCCCTGTGTGTGTGTGTGTGTGTGTGTGTGTGTGTGTGTGTGCTTTTAAAGATCCTGGCAGTCTTTTGAAAGGGAGATTCCAAACTCTAATTTGGTAAACCAGTTGGCTATCTGGGAAAAACTCACTGCCAAAAAAGAAAAATACAAGTACTGTAATTAAATGGGCCTTTTAGTTAATGAAGTGGTATTTGGAAAAGAATGAGGTTCAGTGTAAGAATCAGCTGTGGAAACATATGCAGGGGGCAAATTCTTAGAGTAAGTGCAGTAAATCTCCTGAGTCTGAGTCATCACATTTGAAGACAGGCGGTAGCTAACCAGAGCATCCTCTGTGGTATCAGAAAGTGTGGAGCCTGCTGCCTCTGCAGATCACTGGAGTGTGGGATTTCAAATGAGGTGTTCAGCCCTAACAGCACAACATAAGATCGATGCAAAAGTGCCCCACATTTCCCTGTGTTTAATTCCCTGTGTTTAATAACCTCGCTTTGTTATAAAGAGGATCTTAGGAACAAAGGTCTTAAAGCTCTGTCCTTTGTACAGTCTTTCCTGATGAGAGTTTAAAAGTAAAGTGCAGAGTAAACCTTAGTAGAAAATGCCTATGTCGAAGGAAGTAATTTGTGGTTGAAATTGTCTTGAGATGCCCCCATGTTTATTAGTTATCCCATTGCTGTCGCAAATACTCGAAACAACCTGAGAGAGACAGGATTGTTTTTGCTGTTTCAGAGGGTTCTGTCCTTGGCGGCTTGGCCTCATGCAGCTGGGAAGAACCCCATGGTGGCGGGACTTGTGACTTAAAGGTTTCTTCAACTCACAGTGGATAGGAAGCAGAGAGCAAAAAAGGGATCAGGGACAGGTACACCTTCAAAATCGTGTACCCAGCGACTGGATTTCTCTACGATCTTGACTCTCGAAAGTTCTACCACCTCTAAAACTGGCACCACCACATTTCATAGTTAAATCATAACAGTGCCACTATAGTCCAGGCTATGTCAAAGAAATGGAATTAGTATTCATGATAAAAATGAAACTGTGATAAGATATGAACATTCTATTATAAAAATGTCTCACTGCAAGAGTGATAACTACGAGTCTACCTAATTTTATTTATGTGTAGCATATTTGTATTTATTTTTACACAAATATTTATCACTGTATGTGCTATTGTATTTTTTTTAAACCAGTTTGAGAAAATGCTAGCTGCCCAACTAATTTGTTGGCAGAGCCTTTGTGTTTTCTCCTTTGCTGCTTTCTTCCTGGGGCAGTGTCCTGTTCTCACACTGAACCTTTTAAATATGTTTTGCTCTTAGGACAAAGTCAAGAAACACATTGCTCGAGTCATACAGGACTATCTTGGTAATGACAAAGATATTTTTAAAACGCCCTAGAAATGGGTTTTCAGTGGTTATTTGCCCTTCCATCTTTTGAGCCACAATCCACTCACCCAATGAATAGATTCCTTTTTTAGAAGAAACGATTAACCATTTGGGGGGGTTACTCTCAGAGTTTTTGACTGGGATAAAGTAGTGTTTTTGAGTGCCCATAAAACCATTTAGTAATCATTAGTGGGCAAGCCAGAGACTGGGCAGAGCTCTTAATGTGTGAGAACTTTATTCTCAGACAACAGTTCACTCACCATCTGGTGAGCAGTCCCATATACCCCATCCTGAGCTTTCAAACTAGTGAACGCTTAGCTTAAGCCACGGTGCCTTAGACTTTATGCTTGTTTTTGACGGAGCAGAAATAAAATATTTTGATGGAAAGAAGTCAATATTCTATAACCAATGATGTGGAAATTTTATTTCCTGGGAAATTACTTATCTAGAAATTTTTTAAAATGCAAGTGTATTATTATGATTTGGTTACACAAGGAATAATGTTTCATGTTTAATTGTAATATTTCTCACCCATCCTTTTATTCCCTTTTAGTCATAATAAATGATTTGTGAGACCCATTTTGAACATTATCTTTTGAATAATCCTCAAGCCATACCTAATGTTTTCGTTGTCAAAACTGAGGTGTGCTTTGGAGGGAGTGGCAGTTATTACTTCCTCAGGCATTCATTGTGTCTTCAGTGTGCCTTTGTTTCATTCACAGGAAGGAAGCTGTTTAGACAAATTGTAAATTTAATACATGTGCATATGGATACAAACAGACTATGTGAAGAGGCAAATAGAGATTTGCGTTTTTCCAATAAACCCCCTTTATTTTTCATTCAAGCGAGTTCAGTGGATTGTGTTCTAAAAATTAATCTAAAATAGTCTGTAGTGTGTGAGTGTGTGTGTGTGTGTGCCCTAAAAGTCAAATACTGCCATTCCTTACAAATGAATTATGAGTGTAACTCAATTTACAAAAGTTGTTAACCACAACTTACAAAGAGACTTTGTCCCAAAATGTTTCTTAGTCAATTGTTTGCCAGTGTTTTCTGTCATGTCAGGAAGACTTAATCCAGTTCCTGCTTGGAAGGAGGAGTGTGGATTGAGGAAAGAAATATACAAGAGATAGAGACAGAGTCTGTAGGGCACCCAGTGAATACCAGGATCCACCCCAACTTTATTACTAAAAGTTCTTATAAACCCCAGTCAATAGAGGGGAAGGCACAAGACTGCCTTACCAAGATAGAAAGAACAAGTAAGCATAATTACCTTCTCAATACCCAAAATATCAGGTACCCACACCCAAAACCAAATATCCTGTAGTCAAGGTGAGACATCCATTTAACTATACTTTAGGCCAGATATCCTGTTGTCAAGGCAAGACGCACAATAGCCACACCTTAGGCCAAACATACTGTTGTTTTAACCTTGAAAGAGAAATAATGGGCTCGAACTCTGACCTTAAATCCAGATGAAACGGAGCCACTTCTATGGGCCCATAGAGAAAAATATGACCAGGTTCCTAGAGCAATTTTACTGTTAATTGAATTGCAGTATAATCCTGAAGAACTACCTGTGTTTTTCCAGTAAAGGCTTTCAGTGTCTTGGGAATGCCAGTTTCCCCGTGTGCTGCCTCTGGGCTGCCACAGAATCTGCACTCATCCTAGCCCTAAGCTGATTTCCAGGGGGCTAAGGCTTGGGCTTGAGGGACAGAGTGCATGGAGGCACAGTAAGGAGCATATGGAGACCCTTTTCTGCTAGCACAGCTCAGGCTACCCTCTGTTCCCTTTTCCCTAAAAGAAGGAAAGGACTTGCAGCCAGAAGAGAAACTTTTAATCCCCTTTAAATTCCAGATTAAGACCAGAGGCGGTGGCACACACCTTTAATCCTAGCACTCAGGAGGCCAAGGCAGGTGGATCTCTGAGTTCAAGGCCAGCCTGGTCTACAGATCCAGTTCCAGAACAGCCAAGGCTACACAAAGAAACCCTGTCTCGAAAAACAAAACAAACAAACAAACCTAATTAAGCTAAATTCACACATACATGTTTAGGGGGACATGAAATGCTTCCGTATTTTCAGGTGGTATCAAGACGTTCTAGGTCATTTAACTTAGAAGGGCTCTATGACAAAGAGGTGATAGGCCAGTGCAGGCAGCTGGTTTGAGATGAGAAGACACTTGCTCCAATCTGCCATATTTTCCAAATGTCACTTCACCTAAATTGAACATAGTGATGGTGCCTCTTGGGAGCTGGTGACCATCATCAGCACCGATGCCATGTCCCCTGTTCTACATTAAGGTAATTAATGACCTTATCCAGCGCCCCCTGGTGGTCCATCCAGGTGCTTTCTCAAATTCACAGTGCCCTCTAAATCTGCTTTTCTTCCTCTGGGCCATCAACACCTGGTTAACAGGATTTTCCATTCCTCTGCTGCTACTACTACTACTACTATCTGTTATGATAAAGCTTATGGGGAACCTCGGGCGGGGGACCTTGGCGGATTCCTTGGCAGGTGAGGGTGACCAAGGCGGGGGTCAGGTAGGCAGAGCTTAAGTGAGAAGTTTTATTAGAGAGGGAAGCAGGGGGGAAGGAAAGAGAAAAGAGGTAAAGAGACACACACAGAGGACAGAAGAGAGACAGGAAAAGTCCTGTCTGCCCCAGGGAAAAGAGAAGAGAGCATAAGTAGGCGGAGTCTTTCTTTTAAAGGGTTCTTTACACCTGCATGCAGACTCTGCAGCCATAGAACCCTGGGCTGACCAGGTCACTGCCTGCATGCATTCTGCCAGGTGACAAGGAGCAGGCCAGCATAATGCCTGAATCCTTACACTATCTAATATAGATCTTCAGAAAGCAGAGAAGTTTGGGGTAAATTTCTAAAGTTCAACTTGAACTAACAAAACAATAAGAAAATTCACTTCTCTCATTGTCATTACAAAGATACTAGGATGCCTCAAATAACTAAATGAAGTCATAAGAAAAGGACACAGAGGGGCCTTGGGAAAACCCTGGGGAATTGCACTAGACTTTATGTTCATACCGATATGTCTGCTTTGTGTACTTTAACTACTTTTAGCAGAGCATATGGTAATTTTCTCCAACAGGGAATGACCTGCTTTTTCCAATCATAACTTGAAAAATCCCAGGGAAGGACTCTGATTAACCCAATTCATATTTCATGTGTATGCCAAGCCAAGTCAGCATTGGATGAATGCCAAAAGAAATTATGAAAACCAATCTGCACAGTAGAATAATGTGCAGCCAGCAAGTCTTGTGATGAATTTATAACTGATATATGGGAATACATGCTTAAAACCCAGATTTTAACCACATTCAGTATTAACTCCAAGAAAAAGAATTTGATGAGAGACATCAAAATGAATGTTTTATTTCTTCCGGGATAAACATTTCCCCATCGTCTTCTTTCCTGCTTCTCCTTGTCTTTTTTTCTTTCTCTTTTTCTTAAGTGCTAGGGACTCAGTGCAAGATTCTTCACATGCTAGACAAGAATTCTAGCACTGAGCCACATCTCCTGCTCTCTTTTCCCCCCCTCCATATATTTTTTTTCCTGCAAGAAATGCTGAAAACAAAGGGAAGATATCAAAACCCTGCCACTTTCCTGACTGTTGTTAATAGTCTCCATATGGTCCTCTAGGTTCCCCACACAGCTGCAAAAAATTATCCCCCGAAACACAGGGCCAGGCAAAGCATGCCCATTTTAAAATCTTTCGGGGCTCCTCATAACCAATACAGGCAAACATTCAGAAGAGGTCAAATACCAAACCTGCCATAAATGTTTCAACAAGATCTTCAGGCATGGTCACTTCTGCACCTCTTCTACAATAGCTTGCTTACTTTGAATTATGATTGTAATGAGCTGTGTAGATCTGTTTTAAAGGCTGGATTCTTAACTCACTTCTTACTCTGTACAGCACAGGGCTTTGTGTATGGAAATTGTCTATATAACTTTTATGGGGACTCCAATAAAGAGGGGTGTTGTGGAATATTTTAAGATGTGTTACATTTGTTTATGCTGTGGAACATTTGTTTAATGGTGTGAAGATGTGTTGTATTCTTTTACATTGCATTTGTTTATGAAGTTGCATTGCTTTGCCTGTCTAAAACACCTGATTGGTCTAATAAAAAGCTGAATGGCTAATAGCTAGGCAGGAGAAAGGATAGGCGGGGCTGGCAGGCAGAGAGAATAAACAGAAGGAGAAAAAGTGGGTTGAGGAGCAAGAAGCAAGGAGGAAATCAGGGATCAGCCACCCAGCTGCACAGCCAGCCACTGAGTGCGAAGTAAAGAAAGGTATACAGAAATAGAGAAAGATAAAAATCCCAGAGGCAAGAGGTAGACAAGATAATTTAAGAAAAGCTGGCTAGAAGTAAGCCAAGTTAAGGCCGGGCATTTGTAAGTAATAATAAGCCTCTGTATGTGATTTATTTGGGAGCTGGGTGATGGGCCCCCAAAGAGCTATGAGTTAAGAGTAAAAGAAAAAAAAACTACAGAGGGGTGTCTATAAAGAACCCATAAAATTCAAACAAATATAACTCACCTTCAAAACATAAGTATGTAGGAGAGGCACACACTTCATTATCTTATTAATAAATAATGTACTGCCTCATAAAACGTCAGTCAATCCTTCAGAATGCTGGGGGAAGTGCTCCACGCCTGGTTTTGATTTTTTTTAAAGATTTTATTTATTATGTATACAACATTCTACTTCCATGTATATCTGCACGCCAGAAGAGGGCACCTGATCTCATAATGGATGGTTGTGAGCCACCATGTGGTTGCTGGGAATTGAACTCAGACCTCTGGAAGAGCAGCCAGTGCTCTTAACCTCTAAGCCATCTCTCCAGCCCCGCCTGGTTTTGATTTTAATTGTTGAATTTTTCTTCGAGCAAATTATTAGATAACAGCTCAACATTGTTTCAGCTTCTATTCCCAAATCATGGCAATGAGGAGGGGGTCGGGGAGCTAAGGACGAGACAGCAGAGGCCCCTGGCACACAGTCTGCACTCGGTAGAAATAAAAAAACAAAACAAAACAAAACAAAACAAAACAAAACAAACAAAACCCCAGAAACCTTCAAGTCCTAACCCTTAGAACCCAGATGCAGGAGGACGCTCACCATACCCTCCTTCTGGCAACCTAGAAATTTGAGATGCGAAGTGAAGGCAGAGAACTACATTTCCCATGAGGCCCCTCTTCGACACGAACTCCCCGCCTTGACGTCGCTGCCATGGCAACCGAGGAGCCCGCTTTCTCTGGCCCAAGTAGGACCTCGCAGCCCGCCTGGGGTCAGCCCACGCGGAGCCCAGGACATCTGGGGCTGTACAGCCACCATGCCCAGGTATTGCTCAACCGGCAGGCGGGGCGCTCAGGACGTGGAAAGGGCACGGGAGGATGGGGCGGGGTACCCAGCCCTGGCGCTGTGGGAGACTGGGGGTCTGGACCCCCACATAGGCCTTTGTCCCAAACAAGTAGATGAGTAAGCGGTTAGGAATCATCAACCCCATGCGTTCGAGGACTGCATAGACGGTTCTCGCGTGCCACTTGCCCTTGCAGGCTGCAGGGCTGGCGGTGCTGAACCAGACCGCAAAGCCACCTCCCCAGGGCCCCCTACCTCCTGGTATAGGACTTGGCTACTTGAGATGCGGGAAGTGCAGCACCTCCTTGAAGGCGGAGGGTTGGGGGTGTTGATGGCTTGTGAAATACGTTTGAGCTCTTCCTCTCTACAAGGTCCGATGAAGTTCGGGACTGGAAAAGAGTCAGCTATGCATCGCGTTCTCATTGGTTAACGTAGTGAAGCTATGGGTACAGGGGTTTTGGGTTTTGTTATTTGGGGTTTTTATTTTTATTTTTGTTGTTTGTTTGTTTTGGGGGGGAGGCAGCTGGAAGAACCCTTTCCTTTTACTGGGCACTTGAGAAACATAAACCCATTTTGGAGGGATGCTGTGTAAACAGGGCAAGCAGATGCAGACAGAGTTCCCAGGGGCTGGCCTATGAAATAAAAAAGTTCAGTACGACTTTTCGGGATTTCTATTTTGACTTTGTTTTCCTGCTTTGGCTTTTTTTTTTTTTTTCATTCCGGTTTTGTTTGGGAGTCTGGGAATTGAACCCAAAGACTCAATGCACGTTAGGCAGGCACATATATCATTACCCCGGTTTCTGGTGCTTGTCTGGTAATAATTACTTTAAAAGGCCAGCGCCTAAAACTAAATGAACAGGGACATTGTAACAGTTATTACTACGGCCCCAAAAGCAGACATTGGTTTTTTTTGTTTTGTTTTTAAATTGGCATTTCAGAGCCGAAAATGCCGACTTGAGCCTGGCGATTAGCACAGAGGCTTGCATGTATCAGTTGCTCAACGAATATTTGCTTAGGACTGGGAAGATGGCTCAGTGGATAAAGTGCTTGATGTTCAAGCATGAGGTGGTGAAAAGCAAGCGACAGGATAGATGTCTGTAAGCTTGAGACTTTGGGGAGGGATTGAAGAAAGGAGGATCGCTGGAGCTTCCTGGCCAGCTAGTCTACCCAAGAAGGCAAGTAGACATGCATGCGTTCTCTCAGCTCTTGACTGTGGGCATGACTAGCTGCTCCCGCTCCTTGCTGCCTTGAGCTCCCCGCTTGCCATGACTCCTGCAATTGTGAAGCAGAGGTGTTTTATCATAGCGGTGGAATGGAAACTAGGACACTCAGCTTGCCAGTTTCAGTATTCTTCGTGGACCATTTCCAGGTGAAGGGTGCTAGAAAATCCATCAGTGTTCAACCTAGGTTGACTCCCGGGAAATAGTATTTTTATAACTCTTACTGAAACAAAATCTATATGCTGGAAATAACTATTTCTAAGCATTCCTTCTGTTTCTCTGCTTCTTATGCAGTGAAACTCTCTGGGAAATTGCAAAAGCTGAAGTGGAAAAAAGGAAAAGTCACGGAAGTGAAGGAGATGGAGCTGAAATTGGAGAAAAATCTGTTTTCTTCCTTGGCAGTAAAAATGGGGTAATACTTTAGTGTTCTTTACTTATTGAGATAATTTAGCAATCAGTGACAAATTTTACTTGAATACTTTGATAAATTTTACAGATTTTCAACTCTTTAATCGTATGGTCACTCTGAATTAGCAGAAATTAGAAAGGGCTTGGCATAGCTCTAGGAAAAACTATAACCATGAACAAAGTGTTAGGAAGACTCGTAACTAATTTTATTTCACACTTTGAAGTATTCAGATCTTCTGCTTTGATTTTATATAAAGGCCAAGATCCATTAAAATGTCTGAGTCAACACCCTAAATTGGTAAGGCAATATCTCAGCAATATTTACACTGTGGATTCAGTTACTTCACTTTTAGGAATCTCTACGAAGGAATAATTGAGTTGTGTCAGCGATGTTTATCAAACACTTAGTTGTTTTGGAAAATGTGGGGGAGATGAGGTGGTAGCCCCCATTCTTTGTAAGGTCACGTGACCGAGTGTGCTGAAGATGTGGAATGTGGCCACACAGCAAGAACAGATGTATCATGTCCACACACAGAATTCCTGTGCGAAAGGCAGGGCTGCTGGTGACTCTGTCCACAAAAGGTCAAGGCTTGTGAGCTGACGGAAGGATGCTAGAGTCTGTGCAGCATCACTCTCTGTTCTATTTGGAGTTCATGCTTCTATTCATTTTCTATGGTCCATGCTTCCATGTAAGGGCAGTGGAAAACAGGAAGCTTCTAGAAATGAAGTTCTGGACCAGTGAAGCTATGTGTTGTGTGGGAAGCCTGAGTACCTCATGTTTCAATATCTGCTCAAAGATAGCCCCAGAATACTACATATCTTCATTTAGGTTTTTTAATCTCCATTATTATTAAAAATCATATTTATTGACACAAATAATTATATAAGAAGAAAAAAGTTGGGGCTGGAGAGATGGCTCAACAGTTTAGAGCACTGGCTGTTCTTCCAGAGGACCTGGGTTTGAGTCCCATCACCCAATGGCAACTCACAAGTGGCTGTTACTCCAGTCCCAAGCTCTCTTCTGGCCTCCTCAGACACCAGGCTTGCACACTGTACACAGACCTACACATAGGCAGAATTCTCATACACATAAAAATAAATAGAAATAAAATAAAGTTTAAAAGAAAAATGTTAGGCGTTTTGGAAGAAAATAATGTGAATTGAAATAAGCAGGATATAAATTTTATGTATAATTTCATCTCATATTAATGTGCAAAGATAAATAATTTTTGGACAGTAAATGTTTAATTATTGTATTTTCATTTTATTTTTAATTTCTGTTCTTTCAAATGTTTCTTACCAGCTCACTTGATGCACTTTTTAATTTAAATCTGAATTTAATTCTTTAGCATTAAAATTTCTATGGGCAAGGGAGTTGTCTCAGTTGGTAGAGTGCCTGGTCTGAATTCAGATCTCCAGCACCCATGTAAAAGCTAGGGTGTGTCGCATGGGCTGGGATCCCTTAAGCTCGGCCATTCCAGTCTAGTTCATGAACTCCAGGTCCAGTGAGAGAACATCAAAAAATAAGATGCAGCATGACTGAGCAAAGCACCTGATGTCAACCTCTGACCTTCACACACACATACACACACACACACACACACACACACACACGAATGACACATAAATAAAATTGTCATAGGTATTATGTTTATGGTTTTTAACACAATATACTATATGGGTTTGCCACTGGGAGTAGAGTAATTTTGCTTCCTTTTAATATTTTTTCATTTAAAAATGTTTTTTGGAGATTGTCTCACTACATGTAGCCTAGGCTAGCCTTGAACATGATTTAACTTCCCAACGGCTGGAATTACAACACCAGAGAAGACAGTGATCTTCATATTGTGTCTAACATCAACAGTTTCCTGTCAGGGACATACACATATACATATACACATAATGACATACACATATGCACACATACATAATGACATACACATATGCACACACACATAATGACATACACATATACACACATATATAATGACATACACATATGCACACACACATAATGACATACACACATGTATAATGACATACATGTATACACACATACATGACACATATACATAATAACATACACATATACACACATACATAATGACATACACATACACACACACACATAATGACATATACATATACACACATATATAATGACATACACATATACACACACACATAATGACATACACACATGTATAATGACATACATGTATACACACATACATGACACATATACATAATAATATACACATATACACACATACATAATGACATACACATATATTCACATACATAATGACATAACATATACAAACATGTATAATGACTGGTGCTTTTCTTGTGGACCAGATAAATTTTTATATAATATATTCTGAATGAAGAACATCCCTGAATGGCTTCTGCTAACACTGCTGACTCTAGCTAGGCTTGCTCCCACACTGAGCACCCATTCAGCTGTCCTCTGCTCGTCACTCTAGGTTGCTGTTGTTCTTGACTTCTCAATGCTGTGACAACCTGTTTGGGTCATGGTTTGATATTTGTGAACTCACTCTTTTTCGTGGTAGCAATAAGTGGCCTATATAACCTAGTGTTTGTTCATTTCTACTATGTAAATTTAAACCTCAAGAAACAAGAATTTTTACAGGTAGTGGTCTGTGAATAAATAACCAGTTCTGGAATTTATTCAGAGTATTAATTTATTTTGAAGTATGAAGAGAGGAAATAAATGCTTCTCCTGTTCAACCAATCGTGGGTGGGTGTTGACTTCCTTAGGCACCAGCCAGCCTTCTGAGTACTGTAGCCACAGGAATGAAGGGCACAGTCTCTTGAGAAGGACACAGTGCAGCCAGAGACTGAGAGACCTCGAAAGCCTCTGTGTTGATTTCTTTTTTTCTACTGTGATCAAATTCCTAACAGGAACAGCTTAAGGGAGGGAGATTTATTTATTTCGACTCATGCTTCAGAAGGTTTGGTCATGGTGGGGGGTAGCACACAATGGAGCCAAGCATGCGGGAAGCAGAGAAAGGCAGCCAGGAAGCAGAACAAAGCAGCCAGGAAGCAGAGGAAAGCTATACAGAAAGGGGCCAAAGGAACACTTGAACAGTCCTAGGATCTACTTCCCCAACTAGGCTGTGACTCCTACTTGTCACAACCTCTTAATAATGCCATTGTATTATGAATCCATCAAGGGAGTAATCCATCCAGTAGGTCAGGGCCCTCGAGATGCAGTCGTTGCCCCAAAACTGTCAGTTGGCAACCAAGCACCCAGTATGCGAAGCTAGGAGGAACGTATCGTATTCAAGCCACATCAGCATCCATGAGAGTGAGGGCTAATGCTTGAAGGGCAAGAAATAGAGAAGAGGCATCAGTTCAGAGGCAGGGGGCCAAGCGAGTGTCCTCAGGATCCAGAACAGTGGGTGGCAGTAGGAGAGAGAATGAAGTAATCGCTGTTTTCATGATGGAGAGGAAGGTGGTGCTAACCTGAGAACATGCAACGTCTAATTTTCCCCATCGTTCATGTGCATGGATGCAGGCACGGGGGTAAGGGCGGTGATGGTGATGGGAGATGTGGGGAGAGGTGGTTGAGTTTAGGTGGTTGAGTCTAGAATAGGTGTTTGCAGTTAAGGAAGGCATTGATATTTTCAAGGATTCTTGTAGTGATAAACTGATGTTTAGGATGAAAAGAGAGCGTAGTGAAGGTAGGAAGGGCCCGGCAGAGGGCAAATGTCAGGGTCAGCGGGTTTTTGAGACCTTTCCTGAGGTGAGGAAGACTGTTTGGATACCCGGAGAATTGGCTGGAGAATATCCTTCTGCAGTTGTGATTTGGAAGTTGTGCCGTTCCTAGATGTGAAAGGATTCCAAATAAAACCGTGGAAGTGACGTGTAGCAGACTCAAGAAGAGAAAACTACAAACCTGTCCATTAGAAATACTCTTAACATAGTTATGTCCACCAGTGTGCACATGTGTGTGTGTGTAGACAGATGCATACCTGTAAAAAGGAAGCAGGAAAAGGCATTTCAAAATTGACCTCTGTCATGTAAATGTATTTCTACATTGCCATACCTAATTAGCTGTAGATTCCTTTTGTGAATTGCCTTAAGCAGTTTGGTACATCAAGGTTTCTAGTGTTCCAGTTTTGTGTAGCATACTTTAGCAGTATATGTTGTTTTATAGTATTCCAGTTATCTCATTACAAAGAGTTCATTCAATCTGATTGCACATATAATCTGGAGTGATTTATACCATCTTTTTGGTAAAAATAATTATAGCCTTTCAAGATGTATATATGTATGAGAGAGAGAGAGAGAGAGAGAGAGAGAGAGAGAGAGAGAGTCTGTTTTTGGCAACCTAGGATTTTCCAAACTTTTCCTTGAAGCCCAGAGACGTCTGCTGTGAGGCTGTTTCTGCCTTTCACATCCCTTCCTTGCAAGGAGACATTCAGTCATGTCCACTGAACCTGTCTCTGGGTAAGATTGGGTTAAGTTTCATGGTTAGTGGCTACAGCCTATATTTCTTGACTCCTAAAAAGGAAATCAGAATTAATACATCCTCTAGAATTAGCACAAAGTACTCTAACAGAGTGCTTGAGCTGTTCATTTCAGCCTATCTACAACACATCTTTTATTTGTATGTTATCTTTTCCCTTTATATCCACTTCAACAATTGGGATGGAAACATTTCAGAATACACTAATCTGCCTAACCAGTAATTAGCATTGCTGAGTAAAGAGAAAGTTTAAGACAGCTGTCAGGTGACCACTAAAGTGAGATGTGACTAGCTAATATTTGTCGTCTGTGGGACTTTATAATTACAGTAATAGCAGTGTAGTTACATTGTGATAGAAAGTTGACAGTTCACTTTTTCTGCTCATCAAACTTTCAAGTAATTCTGAAAGTTTCTAGTGTTTAGTTTCCAGGTAATTTATCACTCAAACAATTTCAAAAGCTATTTTGGACCACAGTTACAAACACTAATAAAATTTTACATGTGATTACATTAACACAGCATTCTCTCTTTTTAATTTCTAGGGAAAGACGACTATTATTCTAAGGTGTCTTGACAGGTGAGTGTTATGTCAGCCTCTATGAGATAGCATCCATGCTTGTTCCAGATACAACAGAGCAAAGTTGACCCCAAAGATATGGAAGGAGGATAATATTTAATCCTCAATCTTGAATACAACCTTTAAGAGTACCTTTAAAGATAAGACTAAGAAAACCTCACAAATTTTGGGGGATGATACTAGATTTCCTGTATGAAGGAAAAATGCTACCACCATTACCCAGTCTCTGACAGTACTTATGTCCTCTGGGCTATGCTGCTTTGGTATTTAAGTTCTTTTTATTGTGCCTAATCTATGCCTCTCTGAACAGTGATTGTAATAGGTGTTTTTTAAATAAATCATCCAGTGTAATATTAGTTTAAGATAAAGTGCTATAAACTGCAACATGGAATTAAAATTGTTCATTTCAGCTCTCTGGTAGTATTCCCAGATATAGGATGATCTTTCAAATTGTGGGTTACTGGTTATACCAGTAAAATTTATTTCTTGTATTTCTTGCCACATTAAAAATGAATATATACCATATACTTGCTTGTCAAACAATTTAACTTGCATGAACAATTCATTAAGTCATTTGAATATTTTTCCAAGTTGTTTATTGGTTTCATGCCCTTGTTCATATACTTTTTTCAACTCTCAAATTCGGGCAGAGATGTGAAATAAAGAACTACATAAGTTTGCCCTGGTGCACGCCTTTAATCCCAGCACTCGGGAGGCAGAGGCAGAGAGAACTCTGTGGGTTCGATGCCAGCCTGGTCTCCAGAGTGAGTGCCAGGATAGGCTCCAAAGCTACACAGAGAAACCCTGTCTTGAAAAACAAAAAACAAACAAACAAACAAAAACATTCCCTTGATGTCTGTACTAGTTGCCAAGCATTAAGTTTTCAGCTCCCACATCAAGGCTAAGCAAGCAAGTCAGTATTTCCCACTTAGCCTGGATTTACAGAACTGGCGACCCAGCATGGCCCTTGATGCTGCCAGCCTACTGCTTTTCCACAGGCCCCTGCAAGGGCATGATACCATTAGACACCATTATTCACTCCTGTACCTGCCACTAAAACCTCTAAGATGGTTTTGAGGGGCCTATTTGGGTCTTGTGGAATAACACCTTTCTTACTTTACCTCGGTGCTGGTATTCCAGGTAGCCTCTTTACTAGTAAAGTGTTTAAGAGGAAGTAAAAACAGTAGGGCTATAGCATAAGAAACGAGTTCCACCATCATGAGAACAATTCTTCCTGTGTTATTCAGGGACGAGCCAGCAAAGCCAACCTTAGCTTTGGAATACACATACGGAAGAAGAACAAAGGGACATAACACAGTGAGTCGTTTTGAAGTCATAGCTCGTGCCTTAGATGGGAAGCCATGATGGTGAGATGGCTCTATGTTATCTGACAGTAACCATACCAACAGTCCATGTCATCGACGTGTGTGCTGTTAGATGTCAGATGCCGTTTGCTGATGTGAAGCTTACCTCATCTGTGAAAACATTTTTGCTTTCTCTATGGTACCCTAAAGTGTTGAAGAAGGTTTATTCACAATTTCTGTATTCTTTGGCCTAATTATGCCTACTTAATATCATGAGTTCCTTGTTTTGTATATGATACTTTTGTATATGATATGTATACTTTTATTTTATTTTATCTTACTTTAGACTAGATCTTATGTGTCTCAGGCTGGCCTGAAACTCATTGTATAGCCCAGATTGTTCCAAATTTTCAGTCTTCCTGCCTCAGCCTTCTGGGTAATATTGGAACTATAAGCATATGACACCAGGCCTAACATGAAAGATTTCTTTCTTTCTTTCTTTCTTTCTTTCTTTCTTTCTTTCTTAAAGATTTTTTTTATTTATTATGTATACAGTCTTCTGCCTGCATGCCTGCATGCAGGAGGCACCAGTGTGCGCCACCAATGCCTGGCTAGAAAACTGGTTTTTTCCCTCTCCCAGAAGGTACCAATTGCATATGGTTTCTTGGTCAGGAACTTGGTGCCTGCCTCCCCTTCTCCATGCTGGGAATTTATCTAGCTTAAATTTATGCAGCCCTTGTACATGCTGTCACAGTCTGTGAGTTTATATGTAGATCAGCCCTGTTGTGTATGGAAGACACTGTTGGGGTCATCCAACGCTTCTGGCTCTTAACAATCTTTCCACCTCCCCTTCCACATAGATCCCTGAGCCTTGACTAGACAGGAGGAATTTAATAAAGACACCCATTTAGGGCTGAGTGTCCCAAGGGCTCTCACTGTCTGCATATTGTCTAGTTGTGGTCTCTGTTATTACCATCTACTGCAAGGAGCAGCAGCTTTGATGAGTTGAGGTGCACTGCTCATATAAATTGTCATTAGGAGTCATTTTATTACTATGCTCATTTAGAAGAGTAATACTAGTAGGCTTTCCTCTAGGTCCACAACCTATCTAGTTTCAGGTTGTTAGTTCCATCTCATGGAATGGGCCTGAAATCCAATCAAAAAGTGGTTGGTTGCTCCCATGACCTTTATGACAGTTTTGCAACAATCTGTCTTTCTGGCAGGTCTCTGTTGCAGGGTTTGTAGCTGGGTGACATTGATTACTTTTGTCCTCTGGTAGCATGCAAAGCACCTTCCAACACTATGAATGCTGCTCAGTAGACATGCCGCTTATAGTTGTGCATGAGCTCAGCTTCTTCTTGTTCAATGACCTAAGTAAATGGTGTCTTCAGCGCCCAGTTTTGGAGGTGAAACAGTATCATTGGCCAGAGCCTTGTGATGTCTGAGACGGTTTGGGGGAGATCTATGGGACCCCTTTGGCCAACAAGTCAACAGAAAGTAACCCATTCCTGGTGTTGGAGGTTTTACTTGGTCACATATGATCTCTAGTGGAATTTGCCCCCCTACACACACACACACACACACACACACACACTATGGTAGCTCCAAGGTGTTTTTCTTTACTTATATATTTGCATATGTATCTTTGTGCAGTATTTGCACATGAGTCAGGTGCCCACAGAAACCAAAAGAGGGCACCGGATTGCCTAGGGCTGGAGCTATAGGCAGTTGAGAGCTGCCTGATGTTGATGCTGGAACAAAACCAGAGTTCTTTGCGAGAGCAACAAATGCTTTTAATCAAAGAGCCCTCTCTCCAGCACCTTGTGCTTCTGTTTTATTTCATATACAGGCTCTTCTCATATACCCAAGCTGGTCTGGAGCCCTCTGTGCACTCCTGAATGGCCTTGAACTCACAGTCCCCCTGCCTCAAAGCTCCTGAGGGCTGGTATTATGGGTGTGGATGAATCACCATAACCATTTTATGAGTTACTTTTGATTTGTCTAAAAATCTTCTAAAATTATGGGTCTTGAACTGGAATATTTGTGAAAATACACTGTCCAAAATCTAAATTGCTAGGGTTTTTAAAAATATATCTAGTGTTGGGATTGTAACTCAGTGTTAGAGGATTTGATTAGCATTGTTAGACCCTGAATTAAATCCATGGCATTTTGCGAAGGGGAAGGGGTGATCTAAAAGTTGGTAGTACTGTTGGACACCACAAGTCTTGAGTCTAATTCCGTTTTCACCTGTTTTAGTGTCTGTTCAGAAACTGTTCAGCTAGAGGAGAATTTAGAGTAGCACATGATGAGGGACAGAAATTCCTAACTGGAATTGCTTTTGCAAGTCTCATAGCAAAAGGGGGGGTCATTTCTTAAACTTAGGTATGTGGGAGAGCAGTCTAGTCCTACTCTTCCCTTACAGAGGCACATTTGTATACAATGGTCTAGTTCAAATGTTGGCTCGTTAAACAATGTATTAAAGAATGTATGGTCAAGAATGGAGCACATACCCATGGTCCCAGTACTTGGGAGGTGGAAGCAGGTGGATCTTTGTGAGTTCAAAGTCAGCCTCGTCTATGTAGCAAGTTCCAGTCCATCCAGGACTGTATAGTGAGACCCTGTCTCAAAAAAAAAAAAAAAAAAAAAAAAAAAAAAAAAAAAAAAGAAGGAAGGAAGAATTATATGACATATTGCTTCCTGGATCCACCAGTGAGAGTCAGTTATTAAAAGTGAGAAATTAAAAAGAAAAGATAACATATTGAGGTGCAAGAATTTCGTTTTTATGATTCACATAGTTTACCATGTGAGTTACCTTTTTATGGGAAACTTGAAAGAGCCCTCACAAGCTTGACTTTCGAGGAGGGCTGTAAAACCTTCCTTTGTCACACTGTGAAGCAATAGAGATTTTCCAGTGAAAAATGATTCATTCTACAAGCATTAGTGATTCAAGTACCAACAACAGTAAAGTGATTCTAGATATTATAAGAATTTGTCTCCTAAAAGGAAAATAATGTATATTCATCTAAAACTTGCTTTACTACATTTACCCATTCTAGCTCGTAGTAGCAGGTACCTGAGAACCCAGATGATGGTTTTCATCTGCTTTTCCTCTACTTGGACCACAGCAGGGGGATTTTCTATATTTATTCACAAATCTTCACCCTTTGTCAGGTTAAATGTTTCATTGTGAGTTCTGGATGGAAACACTTTGTCAGCTCCTTGTACAGACAGAGGCACTTGGGCATCAACGCAAAAGTTGATAGCAGCAGAAACACCCCAGTGAACAATCCTGGGACGTGGTCTCTGGTCAGACTGTTCCGTACCACGTAGCTTCCTGGCCCTGTGAGTCCCCTCTTAGCTAAGTAGTCCTGCAAACTGAAAAGCACGGCCAGCCTTATCCCAGTCTCCTGCCTGAACCTGTCATTACCAACAGCAGCCTGTGTCTGTCAGGCTCCTCAGGGGATACTTTCCCTCCTCCCTAAACTGCTGTCTGCCTTGTCCCCCACTTCTCAGGTCTCACTGTACAACTGTGAGCGTCTATATGTCTATATTCGAATGTTCTATTTCACTGCTTTATGTTTATCTAGAATCCCAAATGTATTAAACTGATTAATTATATTTAAATTTTATTTAGGAATCTATTTCATGTAATACTTATTATAAAGTTAAGAGCAGAAAACGCATATCCCTGATGGTTCTCCTTTGTTCTTGGAATGCATTTGATGCGTGTCAAGGTTTAGAATAGAGGATGGAAAACATTTCAAGTCAGAAGAACCCTTTCTTCTTAGTTGAGGGTGAATATTTTGTATCTATAATTATTACTGATGGGCGCTAATGAAGTATTTAAAAAACACTTAAAGTCTAAAATTGAACATTTTTAAACCCTCTATTTTCTTTCAGCCAAAAGACATTGCTCACTTTTGGGAACTGGGTGGAGGAACCTCTCTATTGGACCTCATAAGCATACCAATCACATATGATACCTTGAGGTGAGTGCGAGTGCACAGGCATCCCGAGCATGCGCACAGGCTTTCATAAGACTTCATCTTGGAGTTAGTTTTTATTGTCTGGAGGTTGAGAGCCCTTCCTGTCTGTGACCTTAGACTATAGGGCTTCCAGAGAAGTCTGGAAAGACTCAGGGTTCAGCTACAGCTGAGTGAGGTACGTTCCTGCCAGCAATGTACTTTACAGGCCCACTAGCAAGGGGAAAAAAACTGTCAAAGAGTATTTGGGTGATGAATTTGTCTTCAAAACTAAATATGAAAACTTTAATTCTTTCCACTCTTAATGTGAGTTAACTCAGCTCTGTGGTTTTTCTTCACCTGGTACTGTCACTTCCCCATGGGATTTATTTATCTTTTTAATTTTTTTTTAATTTATTTATTAGTTCTAGTTAGGGAACAAGCTTGTTTCACATGTAAGTCCCTTCTCCCTCTCCCTCTCCCTCCCCTCACCCCCAT